AAAATATTCTTGGTACCATAAAGTTTATGCTGCTCAAAGCGGAAATATGTTCTAAAGATCCACTCCAGCAAACTGCTTCACATTCGTTCTGCAACACTATTCATTTGCTATATTTTCATGTAGCATACCCCATAGGCATGTGTTGCAGTATTTCATGCTCCGCGAAAACAATATAGATATTATATCTGACTTTGACTGAATTCATCTAAAGACACTAGCGGAAAACCTACAATGATCATCCATGTTTAAGTCACTCTGAAATCATGCCACTTTCTAAATCAACTTCTTCTCTTACCGAACGCAGCACCCTTGCTTTACATTGCATGCAGTTTTCTCTCTTTCCCTGGAGAAAATATCTTGCGCATCTACAGCAATTCTCTGAGCTATGAAAATTGATTACACACCACTAATTTATAAAATTTGTCTCCTACAACTTTTGGAACGATCTCACATACTCACTTTAAAAATTGCTTTAAAAAGCATGTACATTTATGGGGGGCTTATGTCACCTGTGATGATTTGTACAACCTGAACCGGACTAATTCGGGCAAGTGCCCAGCATCTCCTCGTTATTGTTCCAGCATACTTTTCTATTTGTTAAGTTCTCTCTTATTAATGTTGACCACTACTGGGCCGATCTATGGGAGATGATGGATGAGTGCTTCCAAGAAATGCAGTAAACCCATGCAATGCGAGTTGCCACGAAATCACTAACAAACTAAATAATTAGCTAATTAGCTAAATAAAGGTATTAGATGGGAGAGCCTAATATTTTGCGCACATAAATTTATATATATTTATGTATAATGTGTCATCGTGATGATGACAGACTTGCACGACAACAACCAACAATAAAACGAGTCTAAAGCATTATTACCTACTTGGTTTAAGCCAAAAATATAAAGGTAGATGAGATTTGAGAGCGAAGTGTAAAAACAGGTATCCGGGAGAGGGTTACGTGAAAGGTCGTATTAGTTAACTTGCTTAATTACTTACTTAACTAATTCCTAATTCAAATTCTATATATATCCCCACATTTCAAAGATTGAACACACAAAACACGTTATTTGGAACAAAACAAATCACGAAAAGTCCAAAATTGTACAAGTTGGTTGGCTGCATATTCCCCCTGATTGGATGGAGTACAGTGACTCAGTGAAATTGGAAGTTAATTTAACGAAATATCTGTCCGCTTAATCTTGCAAAACTGAGATATATAGAGTAGAGAGTGTAAAAAGTAATGTTCGGCGATAAGGCAACCGCTGATTTAAAGGCCCCGCATGAAGCACATTAAAACAACTTGCGTAGCTCAATTCACCTTCAGTAGGAAATAATTCAGTAATACTACGCCAACTGAACATCGAGAGATAATTCAATTCGAATGAGTGTATTATGATTGCGCTAGTTGAAGATGAAAAACTCCGTGACAGAACGGGGCACGTTTACCATGCGACCAGTCAGTGGCGAACTTGAAGCATGTTGGGCCGTCAACCATGCTAACTGAGAGGAGGGTCATTTCGCAAACGTCGTCCGCGACTGACTCGGGAGCACCGTCGAATCAGAAATGCATGGTGGACAGGGAATGCGAAACATACGGAAGGATGGGCCGAACGTCACCAACATAAGGAATTATTTGCCAACATGTGAACATGGTATTCACCGGCGTTGCCGCTGACGCAAAAACTATTCCATGTAACTTTAGGACCTAGCTGCCCACTGGGCTGCAGATGTGGCGAGAAACATTGACTGTCACCTGACCAAACCTTCAGATTAACAGGTTTTCTTTACACAGGTTTTCACAACAAAAGATGAGGCCGCATCTCGCCATTACATCGAAACTGAGTAAAACGAAGAGTGCACAAGCTCAAACACAAAATAGCAAATGCGCTGGTGTCGTTGTAATCCATCAAGAAGGGTTGAAGTACATTGGATCCTCATTGATGCATGATTTGTACCGTTAAATGTAACGCGTGTGCTTTGCTGAATTGAATGGTGCCCTAGCACTGCACAAGAACAAATGAAGTGAAAATCACACCACGAATTATCGTGGAATCAACTTGTTGAGCTGTGCTGTCAGTGTGATCGCACGAATCCTGCCCAACTGCTTGGTCACTCAAGTCGTTAAACCGCAATCGGGCTGGGCACTATATCTGTGGTGTTCGCAACTCGTCAGCTGCAGGAGAAATACAGTGAGTGACACAAGAAATTAAACAATGTTTGTTGGCATCACTAAGGCATTTGACTTGGTAAAACGCGAAGCACTGTGGCTCGTTTAGGGTATGCTTGCTTGCTTGCCTAATCTTTAGTCTATACCTGCAAAACGGTACGCGTTCAAGGGAGCAGGTCTTTTGTCAAACCTCAGATGAATTTGACGTTGTCTCGTGCGAAACAAGGCTGTGACACACTCCATGCCTTGGTTAATGTTTTACCTTCATGATATGCTATGATATCTTGTACATTACATACGGCTTGTGCATACCGTGAACGTGTAGAACACCGGATCGTTGCTGGGCAGCTGAACATCCTTCGTTTTGGGACAAGAATCCAATTGTGTGAGTGAGCCATCCACCTGTCGCTGTTTGCCAACTACTGTGCGTTGGTTGCACTCAGTGTGGATAACTTGCAAAGCATGATGAAGGCTCTCGCTTCGACAACATGAAAGTTCAAGCTCACCAACAGCACTAGCAAGACTTTCGTCTTTTTCAGAATCCACCGGAAATGGAATGCTTACAGTTGCCGCAAATGCACATAGGTGACGACGTTTAGAACAGTGCCGCTTTATTTCGCTACATTGGGGATGTAATACCTGCTAAACTGCACATGACCAGCGAGCTGCTTAAGTGCGTATCTGAAGCAGCTGTCGTATTTGAAATGCTAGAGTGTCGGGTGTGAAATGTTTGCAGAAAACCTTTGGTTTGTCGTTGAAAATACTCTTGCGGATACTGGTAAGGTAACAATGGTAATCTAGAAAACACAGTATTTATAAAACTTGTAGTTTCATTTGACCACGGGACCATACAAAGTAGTTTAGCAGAAAACGATTACATCTGTAATAAATAAGAAGAAACCAGATGTCGATTGTTACCTAAGCACTGTGAAGGACAGTTTAGGAAACGGCAAATTGTACAGCATTTATCCGAAAGCTGCTATTCCACCTAGAATTTAGGGTATCCCAAAATTCACAAACCCAACGTCCCCTTGCGACCTATAATGGATGACATAGGTTCTCCCACAAATGAGCTCGCGAGTTATCTGGAGAGCCTCATGCAAAACCTAATAGGGAGTACGAGCACATCTGTAAAATGATGCTAATGTGTTTGCACGTATGGTGCGGGGGGTGGGCAATGAACAAGTCGAATTGATGGTCAGGTTCGATGTTACCCCCTTGTTCACATATGTATCCAAGGTGGATGAGTCACGATTAGATAGAAACTGCTTGATACGGGACAGTCCCTTAGGGGACAGAACAAAGCTGACAACGGATCAACTGCTAGAGGGGTATCTTATTTTCTCGACATGACTTATTTCACATTCTACTCTGGAATGTATGCTCAAGAATATGGTCTGGCCAGGGGATTTCCAAGATCCCCCGCAGTAGCAAATATACACGTGGAAGGGTTTGAAAAGAAGCCGTTAGCAATTTTCTATGGTGCTCTGAAAGTTTGGTTGCACTACGTGGATGACTTATTTGTGGTTATAAAAAGAGGTAGAAAAGAAGAATTGTTAAACTGTTTGAACTCCATTGACAATGCAATAAATTTCACCATGGAAATTAAGTCGCATATCGGTCTACTTCAGGTTGCGAACATCAGAAAGTATTGGTGAAACGACAACTACAGAAATGTCTCAAGGCAAGCACAACAACAAGCACAGAGCTGATAGCGACAGTGGATATTCCGTATAAAGAAGGAACTTTGGTAGCGATTCGGAGGGTACTGAATAAGCAGCAGATAGGTGTAGTTTTCCAGGGGGTCAAACTCTACGATCCATGCATGTGCATCTGAAGGATTCACTCCCTTTAGATAGAACAATTAATTGCGTTTATAAACTTCCGTGTAAACATTGTATGCAAGTTTATGTAGCCAAACCGCGAGGGAAGTACGTACAAGGATTTCAGAACATAGGTGACACAAATCACGACCCCGTGAAATGAGCTAAATTATGTAGCTCTACTCAGAGACTCGACAATAAAAATGCACGCGCTAGACAAGGGGTACGAAATTGACTTCGAAAATATCGAGCTTAGCAGGGAGAGATTAGGATCAGACAAACAAAGGCTGATTACTGAGGCTATAGAATTAACCCAGGATAACAACTGTGTAAAATTGGATAGACGGAATAGGGCTGTCTAGTGCCTGGCGTCCAGTCTTACTCCGGCCAGGTGGATAAGCAACGGTGGATGGATCCCAAATCGGAATGGACTATCAACACTCTATCCAACATATTCCGAAATAATAAAGAGGTTATATTGCTGACCACACATGTAACTATTCTCTGACCAGCAATTTCTGTTCCACATCTGACCCTGACTGAAAGAAACCACAGTGTACACAGGAGCCTAGTGAGTTTTGACCGCTGTAACGTTTCATCGATGAAATGCAAATTGATTAGTCTCTGTATGTAGCTTGTCAATGATCGTGATAAACTTCCAATGTTAATTTGCTTCGCCTGCCGAGGCTTTTGTGTTGAAAGTGAAAAGTTGCGTATCCTCATAAACACATCAACCGGTCGTTTAACAAGCCTTCTGAAATGATTTCGCTGAATTGATTTGAACTAGTTGTTGAGTGGAGTGTTATTAAGGGGAAGAGCTTAATATTTAACTATTTCCAATACGATTCCTCTGATCGGTATGTCTGAGGTTTACTAGGAACTTAAATGCGGTTAGTATTGGTGTTCCTTGTCCTAAAGCCATTACCAAATAGGCACTATTTAAGGAGTAGTGGAGAGCATGTTAGATAGTGATCAGTTTGTGGACGCGAATACTGAACATAAAAAGTAACTCAAAGAGAAATCACACGCAATAAATTGCTCTTATCTGTGTATGTGCTTTGCCTTCCATTAAAGTTGAAAGACCAGATATAAATATTTAAAGTTTGCTTACCAGGTGGAGGTTGAGGTGGGGCTGGGGGCGGTGGATTTATGTGGAATCGACCAAGTAATGCTTCCAGTGTTTGATAATTGGCATAATCATCCGCAGATGCACTGAAAGACTGAAGTTTTGCCAGCTGATTAAGAACTTGCTGTCTTACACTGGGGTCTGAAGGTTGAGGTGGACTTTGGATTGTAGGTGAACTAACGAACTGATGTATTTGTTGCTCGTGATCTTTTCCCAATCCATGTACACCAGTGACAAACGCTTCCTCATCGCCAGAGGAATAGCATGATCGACGGATGGTTTGTCTCGCTAAAGCCGGATTAAAGGTAACACTTGTACTGGTAAGCCCAGTTGGGGACGTAACCACGGTGGATCTGGACCGTGGTGCACCCTGGATTGCCGCTATGGCAACTGCTGCAGCGGCTGCAGCGGCAACCGCAGCCTGTTGTTGTTGTTGACGTAGTTTCATCTGCTGCTGTTGTTGTTGCTGTCTCAACTGGACCTGTTGTTGCTGTTGTTGCAAACTATGGGCACCGTACGCGGTCATATCTGAATCGGACCACCGTGCACTTAGCAACTCCCTGCGCAGGTTACTGGTGGAGGGACCGGCGCGTTGCGTTATATTTTGCAACGGGACATTTTCGTTTAGAGAAGGTGCAGTGCATCGGGTTTGCGAGGTCAAGAGAGCAGCTAGAATTGAGCTAGCTTGCTGTCTTGCAGTTGAATGTGTAGAAACTGAGGCACCAAATGGCGGATGGGTTGAGAGTGAATTAACATCCCTAGCATAGGCATTCGTACGATCAGTTGAGCTCTGTACGGATGCCCCAATAGGATGAGGTGTACCTGTTGGATGTGTGCGTTCTGGCTGGTGTTGCATAGGCGGTAGACGCGCATAGTCACGTGTGGAGTAGTCTCTCGGATAAGGGTATCGAGTACTTTCCTCTTCTCGTGGAGTATACATTTGCATCTCCTCCAACCGAACCCTAGAATTAGAGGGCTCTATGCTAAATAACCCACTTTGCAGGGCTGGTCGCTCATTTCCTCTGGTTTGTTCACGGTCAAAATGTACAACTCGCGGATTGAATTCACGAATATTTCCACTGCTGCCCTGATTGATTGGAAACCCATGCATACGGTTGCTTCCGGGTGTATCGAATGGGTTGTTAAATGACATATCCCTGGTGTGACTGGTTTCCGAGCCCCTAATGTTCGGTTCCTTAAGGCTCTGCAAGGACTTCTGGGGTGTAGGAAGGTTTGAAGTGGAAGCAAACAATAAATCCGTATCGGAACTGGACTCAAATGAACCTTGGGGAGGCAAATACCTGCGGCGTGATGAATTTCGGTTGTGGAATTCGGAGTTAAATTGCCACTGTGAACACGACAAGTTTTGCGGTAACCTAGGCCCATAATGGCCATCTAGTTCTTCTACGCTGTGTGTTTGGTGCACAGGATTTAAGCATATTTGTTGTTGTTGCTGTTTTGCATCACGAGTGTACTGAGAATGTTCACTTGATACTCCGCTATCGAATGATTCTTCAGCCATCTGGTGCTCCGATTGGAGCAAGGTACTTGATGAACAAGGTGAGAATGCCCACAATCGTGATACAGAGAGGATTTCACGGCTTTGAATTTCACGAATCGAGGCGTATAGGTATAACTTCAACAGGTAAACGTGAGCACAGGCCTCACGAAGCACACAATAGGGCACTGTGCCTTTGAGCTTTAGGAAGGTGAACTCAGAGCTAATACGAGTGGCGTAAGGTTGCGAGACACGTTCATCGTCCCAGTGCAGTTGAAGAGAGCACAATTTGATTGGATAATCCAATGGTGGCATGCTACTAGATCTATGAGGTTAGCACACAGCTGAAATCCACAAAAATGAGCTGAAGCGTTTAAATCCCAAGACCATTTAGCCATGTAGTAATTCCTAGCGTTCAAGTGTGAAGGAGCACAACGCAATATGGTCACATTGTGAGGTCACAGACTGAGCGAAGTCTGACACCGGTACACAGCAACAGCCTGAAAGTTCCCATAATTCCATACCATGTGCACACAACGCAATCAAACACAGTCGTGCGTAACGTGAACTAGTTCTCAGTTAGCTGGAGCACGTCACTGCGACACGCGCTTAATTTTGGACGGTAGAGATCAGTCGCAGACGGACGAGTGAGTATAATTGATTTCATTCGAGTACGTTGATAATCCACCTACTCTTTGGCCTGCCTTCCTACTTGCATGCTCGCTAGTCCACTGCCTCGTATATGCATTAGCTTTAGTCAGTGCGAAGTGGGGGTTGGTGAGTGACAATGTTGGTGCGATCACGCCGGCATTGTCCGAGGAGATTGCTTCTACAACACATAAACCAATTGCGATTACAATTGCAGCTACATGTGAGCACTACTCAGGTACACACGCACGAACACACACACACACACACAACAAGCATCACACTACTTTATGAGCTGGACGGCGTACATAGTCTGCGGTGGCCGATGTAGGCGCGAGAACGCGCGCGTTACGACGGTTACACACGACTCACTTGTCTATGTTTTCCGAAACTTTGGAATCGAGACACAGCAGAGTGGCCAACCACGGGGACGGGATACTTGGGATGGTGTACAGAGAACTAACTAGGGAGTAGCACCAATCAGAGGATAGATCAAGAGATCGGGACAACATGAAAGTGGCAGAGTTACAGCAGCTCTGTAAATATTCATATGGGGCTAGTTTGACTATGGGTACATGATCAATTATGACAGCGATAGCCTTATATCGTAGTCGAGTACCCATAGTCAATGTTATCTTACATTTTCCTGCACTTTTAGCTTGAGTCACACAGCAATTTGACATTCAGCTGGAGCACTAGCCGTGAATTATACTTTTTCAGTTGTTGACCATAGTTTGCTACTGTTTTGCAAAGTTAATTTTCTATCAGCTATCATAACGCAGCATGCGGTATCCAGTATTTAATAGTTAATACACTTGGGTTTAAATGCCGTACCTCTTTTGAAGCAATGGACGCTAAACTTATCAATTTTGGGAACCAAATTTATTATACAGGTTTCCATCATATGCAGGGTAGGCTTGAGCAAACTAGTCCTCCAAAATCAATAATCTAGATCTACTGAAGTCAGGCATGGTTTTTGCCAAATAAGATAGAAGCTGCTGGCTAGAATTAACTTGGTGTTTTCAAGTTACTCCTCATAACCCGAACAACTGCACCCATTGGTTGCTGAGAGATTTTCTAATCGATGAGAGTTAGCTATGGTAAAATTATTTGTTTTGCAACATCAATCAGAAGCAGATGCAGGTGGTGCAATTTCAGGATAAATTTGGAGTTCCGTTGTTAACCCACACTAATGCTGTAGCCAATGGGACAAGGCTCCTGCATTTAGTTTTTCTTTACAATAATCGACATGGCTTGCTAGCCCAAAAACCTCTCCGTGATACCAGATGGTAGGTTCGGGTTAATCGCGTTCCAGCGAACTGTTTGACAGAGTATTTCAGGATGTGGTGGATTTCCGCCTGGCGAGCTTTTTCTATATAACATGCCACTAGTGGCTGATTATCAGCAATGCGACATGACAGATACGAATAGCCAAATACATAGTCACGGCTCTTTGCCATTCTGAATGATATTACTCCCTTCGAGGACCTCAGTCATACAATAAGAAGAGGTCCTTTGATTCATTTCTACACTGCCAAACTGATAAACTCTGATCGCATACGCGACGTCACATAAAGAAACGCATTAAATATGCCTACCTACAAATCGTTGGCGGGAGCTGGTTGCTCATTTGTCTGTAACTACGGCCTCCACAGAACAACCACAGGACGTCGGCAGCTAAAGAAGTACAATGGGTGAACGGCGCTGCACCACACGCAGCTCCGTCCGCACACCACATATCTACTACAAACCCAAAGAAATATAATCCGGAGTCGTGTGGATGGGAGCAACGCCCCTTGAACGGAGCAGGCACGCACTCCTTCAAAATTCACAGCAGCAGCATTCCTGTGTGTCTATGTTGGGAATCATTTGTACCAGCAGTAAACAAGACGATGGTTGTGTCGTACTCCGCTCAGCAATGGATGGAAACGTTGTTTGAGGCTAGAACCGTCAAGAGAGCGGTGCGCTCCCTCCTTCCAGAAACCACCAACTCTCTGCTGGAGTCAATAATCGATGTAGAGGGTGTTTAACGGGCAGACGTCTTGTCAGCAATCACTTGAAGCACAGCCACGCCAGAGTTATCAGTCAGCAGTCAGCAGCTGAAATGCAAGAAACCCATTACGTCTGTAAGCGTACAGACCAAATGCAGCATTGATGTAACCCACACACCAAATCAGCCACCTTATTGGCCTGGGTAATTTGATGACTAAACAAATAACATGCTCGAGTTCAATTAAATGCTGGCCACCAATTGCCATTTGATGGCTTATGAAGCCGCGTTAATGAGGCGTCAGCCACCGCATATGCTACAGCATCATGCGTCTGAGGTCGATGAGTTAGAATTCATTAGTGCCTGCCGATTCCTGAACCGACCTTTCTCTTACAAATACTATAGTGCTTTCTCCTGCACCTGAGCGACTGCTTTCCTGATAAGCCCACGCCATCCGCGCTCATCAACTCACTTGGACTCTCAACAACTGGAATTGACGTCCGTTCGTGATAAAGGCTTGCTGAATGTTTCCTGGTAGCGTAGCATCGGTTTTCGTATGTGCCACTTACATGAATTAGGTTGTCAATCTAACGGCTGCCTGAACATCCGCCATGAACCCAGGCTGCAGAAATGTCCAAGCCACCGCAGTTACCTTAGCATAAATATGCAGTCTACTGCGTACATGCCACCATGTTCGAGTACTTCCGTGTCAGCAGCTCAGTGATCCATGTCGTTTTGCACAATGCGACGCAGACACTGTTGATTGAATCGCTAAGGAAACGACATTTTTGGGATACGTCGACCAATTTTCGCTGCCGTAACAAAGAGCGGAGTGGTCCATCGATTTTTATGCAATCAGTAACGTCCCAGTGACAAGCAGACGATTGTTTCACACACGAATATCTAGGATATACAAATACGATAGCCGCTTCAGATACGCACTTAGGCAGCTCGCTCGTCATGTGCAGTTTAGCAGGTATTACATCCTGAGGTTTGACAAAAGCCCTGCTCCCTTGAACGCGTACCGCTGTGCAGGTATGTAAACAGACTAAATATTAGGGAAGTAAGCAAGCATACCCTAAACGAGCCACAGTGCTTCGCGTTTTACCAAGTCAAATGCCTTAGTGATGCCAACAAACATTATTTAATTTCTTGCGTCACTTACTGTATTTCTCCTGCAGCTGACGAGTTGCGAACATCACAGATATATTGCCCGGCCAGATTGCGGTTTAACGACCTGAGTGACCAAGCAGTTGAGCAACAACAACACAGCTCAGCAAGTTGATTCCACGATAATTCGTGGTGTGATTTTCACTTCATTTGTTCTTGTGCAGTACTGGGGCACCATTCAATTCAGCAAAGCACACGCGTTACATTTAGCGGTACGAAACAGGCATCAATGAGGATCCAATGTGCTTCAACCCTTCTGCATGGATCACAACGACACTAGGGCATTTGCCGTTTTGTGTTTGAGCTTGTGCACTCTTCGTTTTACTCAGTTTCGATGTAATGGCGAGATGCGTCCTCATCTTTCGTTGTGAAAACCTGTGTAAAGAAAACCTGTTAATCTGAAGGTTTGGTCAGGTGACAGTCAATGTTTCTCGCCACACCTACAGCCCAGTGGGCAGCTAGGTCCTAAAGTTACATGGAATAGTTTTTGCGTCAGCGGCAACGCCGGTGAATACCATGTTCACATGATGGCAAATAATTCCTTATGTTGGTGACGTTCGGCCCATCCTTCCGTATGTTTCGCATTCCCTGTCCACCATGCATTTCTGATTCGACGGTTCTCCCGAGTCAGTCGCGGACGACGTTTGCGAAATGACCCTCCTCTCAGTTAGCATGGTTGACGGCCCAACATGCTTCAAGTTCGCCACTGACTGGTCACATGGTAAATGCGCCCCGTTCTGTCACGGAGTTTCTCATCTTCAACTAGCGCAACCATAATACACTCATTCGAGTTGAATTATCTCTCGGTATTCAGTTGGCATATTATTACGGAATTATTTCCTACTGAAGGTGAATTGAGCTACGCAAGTTGTTTTAATGTGCTTCATGCGGGGCCTTTAAATCAGCGGTTGCCTTATCGCCGAATATTGCTTTTTACACTCTCTACTGTACGTATCTCAGTGTTGCTGACTTCCAAGTTCACCTTGACACTGTACTCCATCCAATCAGGGGGGATATAGCAGCTAGCCAACTTGTACAATTTAGGACATTTCATGATCTTTGTTATTCCAAATAACGTGTTTGTTGTGGCCAATCTTTGAAATGTGGCGATATATATTGAATTTTAATTAGGAATATTTTACTTAATTAAGTAAGTAAGTAACTTAAGTAATACGACGTTCCATATTACCCTATCCCGGATACCTATTTTTACACTTCGCTCTCAAATCTCATCTACCTTATGTTTTTGGCTTAAACCAAGTAGGTAATAATGCTTTAGACTCGTTTTTTGTCGGTTGTTATCATGCAATTTTGTCATCATCATGGTGACACATTATGCGCAAAATATTAGGCTCTCCCATCTAAAACTTTCATTTACCTAATTAGTTAATTATTTGTTTGTTAGTGATTTCGTGACAACTCGCATTGCATGGGTTTACTGCATTTCTTGGAATCACTCATCCATCATCTCCCATAGATCGGCCCAATAGTGGTCAACATTAATAAG